ATTCTAACCAATGACTCAGTATCTTCTTTAATTGCTTTACAAATTTCTTTATCTACACCCTAATTATCAGATATTGCGTACAATATAACAACAGTGCATGGTCAAAATGCACGTTTTTTCAAATGCATTTTGATAACTTGTTTATGAAGACACAAGGTCACAACTTATTGTAATATCTTGTTACTTCTGGATAATTCTTCAGACAATTACGTTACCCATTTCTGAAAACCTGAGTTTGATTCTCAATAAAATCAGGGAAATAAGGTATTTTGGCCATCAAAAATCACAAGTCAAAAAGGGACAGACCATATGTTGGGCAAATGAAAGAAAAAAACGAATAGGTCACAAAACATTACACAGGAAAAATGAAGATTGAGAAACATAAACCTCTCCATTGTTCTCCCCCAGAATTTTCTAATAGCTCCATGGGATTCAAAATAAGACTGTTTCCCCTAAATTATAGTGTCACATTTATGATATATTCTATTATCAAATCTACCTGGTTATTATAATAACATGGAAGAAAAAATGGTATCATGGTGCTGTGAGTCCCTTGGGAGATAAGCCCAATGAACTTATTCAAGAAGGGGAGGTGGTGTCTTCTTTAGTGACAGCCATTGTGCTACTGATGTATAAAATCTTGATTCTTTCCAGAATATGCATGAAGTATTTGCTACTGGATATTAAGACTGTTGTTGATCAAAATCAGATGATCAGTCATCTTAAATGATTTATTATTGATAAAAAGCACTGGTTTCCTGTAAAGATAAGGTTATTTGAACACCATATACTCAGATATCTTTAGCTTTATAATTGATATTGGTTATAAGTATATTAAAGTGTTGAAAGCAAAAATACTTTAAAGACTTATGAAATAGATATATTCATGAAAATTAACAGGGGATGTTTACTTCCTTCTATTTCTGTTCATTGAAAGGTACAGGTACGTATCATGCTTATTTCAAGAAACAGAAATTACTTATATTACATTATAAATTAAGAGTTCAACTGTGGAACTTTCTGAAATGGGATATTGACTACTTAATTGTTTTTATTGCTTGTTATATATGATCTAATTAATGTACTGATAAACATAAAACTGAGTCTTATTTTCATGTGAAGAATATAGGTTGGTCTTTGGGATCAGACTGCTTAAACATATAGCAATATTGACCATTAATAATTCATATAAGACAAACTTGACAGTTCATAATGATTGTGTAAAAGTTATTTTTGGTAGTAGAAGGATTTTATTTTATGTATTCAAAAGGTATAATTCTTACTAATAGGGAAAATTAGGAAATGTAAAATGAGATCATTATTTTTTCCTGAGTAGGTAAAGTTTTAAAATCTAAGGAATCCCCAATACAAAATTTAGTTTCTAATATTATGATTTAACTTGTCGTAAAATCAACTTTTTTAATGCAGTTTTAAAATAAACTTTACTGATTTATAAAGATTTAAATCTTATCATCATTAATTAATGTTTGATTGAATTAATTATTATATAAGTTAATCTGTCAGAAAGCCAAATATTTTTATTGTAGGTACTTATCGATTAGATTTAAAAGTTTAGTTGTGTAGAGGTCATTATTTGATAAGTATAATGTGTTTATTTCTAAAACAGCAGGTGAATAGACTTGTAGATTAGCCCCATGAAATGTTACCTTCTAACAATAGAAAAGTGGTTTGTGTTGTAGTCACATGATCAAAACATGAATGCCCCTTAGGACATTTAAAAACCAGACATGTTTATGAAAATAATTATTGATTTTATATGTGTGTTTATTAGTTAGAATTGAGTGTATAATTTTTTGGTTTTGAACAGGATTTTACAATGCTCAACATTTTTGACATTTTTTACTAAAAATTGAGAGAAAAAATAGAATGTTTCCCTTCAGAGCCTCTGTGTACTAAAACAAGGCATTGAGCAGTTAGTTCTGATCATGTGACTAGCCAAGGATGAACTAAGATTATATTCTAGATAAAGTATTACATAGTGGGTTAAATCAATCAGCTTTATAATTGTGTATCAACATTGTGTATAAAATGGACTGATAGAAAGAAGAAAGGAAAAAGATGGCAAACACAGAATGGCAGTCTCAGGTGGCTACGGAATTGCAGATAGCTATTCAGACGGAAAGGTGTGCTCTAATTTCTATATCATTATATTGTATTTACACACATAGGTAGTTTAGTTTTATAGGTCAAATATCTGACAATGTTTTACTTACTATTGACATTTGATACATGTTTCTATAATGTACATATTTAATACATATTTTATATGTGTGTAGGCTCATGATTTAAAGAATTGCTGATACATTGATTTTTGTAATGATCATCCTATAACAATTAGACTAGCCTACACTATTGTTATAAGGATTGACTACAAATTTCTTCCTCACAATATTCCAATTTGTAAATGCCGTGTAAGGTTGCAGTATTGGTATTTTTGTGGAAATTCACTGTAAAATGGACATATTTTATTATGTGTGGGGACAGTTTCATTGAAGATTTTTCTAACATTCATAAGATTTGACATGTTATTTCTCCTGTAAATATCCTTTATTTGTTATTGTTGATATATCATTATGTAATTTATATAAATAGTTAGAACTCAAGGTGATTTTAAAATCTTTTTTGTTTTTTAAAGTGAGATTGAATTTACTTTAATAGACTTTTTTGGTTACATATTTTAAAAGGCTATGTATAAACTAGGGATTAACTGCAGATTAACTTGATAAGACCTTGATTTCATTCTAACAACCCTATTCATAATTTATATATAACCTGATATGTATGTTATATGTTATTATATTTTGACACTGTACATTTCTTCTGTTAATATTTTTTTTTAATTGTCAGAGTAGATTGTAGGGGAGCTAGAATTCCCCCAAAACTATTTCAATCACAAGTTAGCAAAAGCAATATCTTTTTTAATCTCTGAAATTTTTTTAGTCTATATTTGTGTGATTTATACAGAAAAGCTTAAGTAGTTTAATCCTAATTGATTTAATGGACTTGAAATGTATATGTTTGCTTTATTTTTTAATTCACAATTCTGTATATTTAGAATACTTTGAAAAGTCTTTTTACATTTTGTGAATAGGGACAATGAGGTTTTTATTTATTTTGTAAGCTCTAGAATTGTAATTATTCTTAATGCATCAGATATATTGTAAATTAATTTTAAGTTATGAATATGACAGTGGTAATCAGATTGTGTATAAAATGGCATCATGGTTGTTTTTTTTCCTCACAAAATGTCTCCTACAAATGTAAATTACGTAAATAACATCCTCTAAATATGTTAAATAGGTGAAGAAACACTACAATAGTTCATAACTAGTTCATATAGACATGATCATCTGATTTAATGTATCACAGTACATAACTGTCACTCAAAAACAATCAAAATCCTATGTCATTGATAGGTACACGATTTTATAAAGGTGACTTTTCATTTGCTCTTCTTCAAACTTTTATTACTTCCTGGTTTCTGTTGTCTAAAGGTAACAACATTATATTAGTCCCTAAAAATAGTTGAAGAAGCTAGAGGTTTTCTTTTCGACACTCTAAATCTCAAATAGTATGATTTTATATATCAAAGTACGATGTATGAACACTTCGTTCTTTTGATTGAAGGAAAAGAAAATGCTAAATTGGCATCAATTCATTCTTTTCTGTCACTTGATATACTTATTTCAAAGTTATAACTCCATGTTTTTGCTACTTAATTTGTAGATCATTATGTATAGCTTTTTACAATTACATGATGGAATTTTTATAGCCCACACTTCATTCATATAAACATTATGATATATGAATTTCTTGTACATGCTTACATTTGAAAGTAATAGATTCAATGTTGACTTTATTTTTAGAAGAGTTTTATATACATGTATACAGATCTGTATAGTAATGTGTTATTGAAAAAGTTCTTCAATTACAACTTTACTAACAGTGATCACTAGCCTTGTCAGTTTGAACACTGCTTGAGTCAAAATATCCATCTTAATTGAGGATTGCCAATTTTCCTGCCGAAGGTCAGTGGTTCCTCCGGAAGTCTGGCTTTCTCCATCAGTAAAAACTGGCCAAGGTCCCTGAAAGTGTTGTTAAACACCAACAAATGAAACAAACAAACAATCAGTTACACGTACCTAAGCCGCCATTGACCACTTAGTTACGTTACTATATCTCTGGATTATTTGAAAGCGAAGACAAAATGGGAAATTATTTCTATCAGAGGGACATGCCCCAATTCATACATGGTCACCTCCTTAATGTATGATAATACTAACAGAATTATAAGATCTGTTTTTACGGTCCATAAATAAATTTTGACAACAAACTACTTACCCTTTTCTTGTTCTGATTTGAGCGGTGATGTAAATGCAGGACTTTGCATTCCCTTAAACAACATCCTTGATAGAATGAATTCTATTCTAACCTAGCTTGTACTCATACATGTACTTAATTTTGATAATTGTTCAGATGTATAATTTGTAAAAACATTGGCGCTTGTTTGCTGACTTGAACTTTTCTGTTGGTCTAGTGTATACAGCAGAGTTTGAGGAAATGTGTTGTTTTCCTTACACAGAGCGCTAATTATATTAAAGATTTAAAAGGGTACCTCCTCAGTTATGACATCAATTGAATAACTAAGAGGGGAAACTGTTTTATATTGATTTGTAACATATTGGTATATCATTTACGCTTTGATAAAGAAGAAGTTCATTCTTAACTGTATTGAAATGTTTGAATTTCTGGAAACAGATTTAAAAATGTCTCTTGAGTTGATGTAAGAACTAATGTTTCTGGGTTTGCTTGTAGTTCATTTGAAATACGTATATCTATTGTAAATAAGTATACTTTTTCTCAGTTTATTCCAAAAATATATCATCGGAGTATAAAACTAAGCAAATAGGGAATCAGTTCATATCATTTATATAGTGACTGTAGGATATTATATAAAGAATATATTTTGTTTATTTTAGTGATCCGAATGGTCCATGGTGTACAGGAAATCAAGGCCAGTCTGGACCAGGTTTATCTGTAGTAACCACCGTCTGGGGAATGACCAATACTACGCAAACAGCGCCATTTAATCATCAAACACCGGGATATACCACTACCATGTCATCAACAAACTATACGCAACAACCAAACTTCCAAGTTAATGCATTACAGAAAGGACCATACAACCCTACTTCATTATCAAACAACATTCCATATCGTCGTCCAAGGTAAGTGTTAGAAACCAAACTTCAAATTTAATGCATTACAGAAAGAGCAATAACTTCCATGTTAACAGGCTACAAAAAGAGCTCTTCATTGTTTTGTCTGTTTTCTTGAACATGGTTTTAGGATTGCCTCTTGTCAACTTTCCTCTTTCCCTTTTTTCTTTTTTTACAAAATTTTGCAAACTTTCATGAAGGCATATTGTAGATAGAAACCCATTTCTAAAATTCTCTCCCCCACCCCTTTTTTTTTATTGCATTTTATGAAAAATTCAAGGATTGTTTTACATGCAAACGTTCACGTATGCATATTACAGAGAGAAACCCATTTCTAATGTAGTGTAGATTTCCTTCCTCAAAAAGAGATAATTGCATAAACATTCATATGCCAATCACTGAGTACTTTATTGAAGCTTTTAAAAATGATACTTCAGCTGAAAACAAACAGCTATATCCCATAATTGTTCTTTTTCAAAAAACCTGTTTGGGGCTTAATATTGGAGTGATCTAAGTAGTTAAAACTACAGTGATCACTAGCCAGTTTCCCTGTCAAAGGTCATTTGTTCTCTCCAAGTACTCTGGCCTCCAACCAATCGGGACATTATTAACTGCAATTCATTGTCTTTAAATTTTCAGCAATTTGTGATAGTTGTTAACTTAAAAAAAATTTGCAATTCCTTGAAATAATTTTAGTAAATCATGTTGGTAATCAATTTGCAGATAACAGCATAGTAAGCTTTAAAAACATGTTCTTCTTAAATAATTAATAGATGAATTTAAACATAGCATATGAATATTTTATTCAGAATCTACATATTTGGTTGTTCCTTATATTTCAGTTACCCTCCTACTCCAAATACCCCAGGATCAAATACACCAAGTAATAATGATTACCCTGGAGCACCTCAACAAGGAAATCCAGCACTGGCACAAGCTTTAGTAGCGGCAGCAGCCACAGCCTCAGCCACAGCAACGGCAACTGCCACCATGATGATGCAGAATGATCCACAGATGAATAACAACCAACCAATGAATGTCCAAATGAACTATGGTCCAGGCATGCAGGTAATATATTGAAACAGTTAATCTGTTAAGGATAATCATACTTTTTCCAAGTCAGGAACCTGTTATTCAGTGGTTGTCATTTGTTGCTGTATAACCTGATTTTTATTCGTTTGTTGTTTTGTACATGATTCAGACCATTTGTTCTCTCGTTTGAATTGTTTTACATTAGTCATTTCGAGGCCTTTTAAGCTTGCTATACGGTATGGGTTTTGCAAATTTTTGAAGGCCTGTGACCTGCGGTTGCTAACCTATACCATTTGGTCTCTAGTGGAGAGTTGTCTCATTGGCTATGAATGCATATTTACATTGGAAAACTTGTGGTTACCAGTCAGTACTATGTTACTGCTAACACATGGGGTGTATCAATGGGAGCTATGTCACTGCTTACAATAGGAGGTCTTGTTGGTCTTCTCTCCTTGTTGTAAATATATGTTTTCCAATACTATCAAGAACTAGAACAGCAATGAAAGCATTGTTTCCCAATATATGGTTATTTCCACATATATCTGGAGAATGTTGTCAGGTATATCTACCCAATCTCTTTTATAACTCCAATGCATGTTTTATGTTGAAAAATATCATGTCATAGTTAAATTTTAAAATAAATTTATATCTGTAACCATTTGAATTTGAAGAAAAAAAACCTGATTGCATTTCCTACATTTTATGTACCCTGCTGAGGGTAACATTTTCAATTTGTTTCTCTTCATAGTAACCTTTAAGGACATTTTGAGGATGTTTTTGGTCTTTATCCCACATTTTGTGTACTATTTGTATCATCTCTGAAATTCGGGTTGGTTTTCACTTACAAATCATAGTGGTCTTTAAGGAAATTTTTGGGAGGTTTATTGTATCTTTGCCACCTTAAATTTTTTACGGGATTGGAAGATTGTTTTGATAAATACGTTCATCAGTTAGATATTTTGTTCATAGATTTGCATGAATTCTATGTGTAAGATTTTTGTTTTTTTTTGTTTTTATTTCATGGTAACCTTTAAGGACATTTTGAGTGTGTTTATCATCTGTGAAATTCAGTCAGTTTTCACTATCAAATCATAGGGACCTTTAATGAAATTTTGGAGAGGTTTATTGTATCTTTGCAGCCTTATATTTTTTATGTGATAGGTAGATTGTTTTGATTCATACGTTCGTCAGTTAGATGTTTTGTTCATAGTTTTGCATGACTGCTGAGGGTAACATTTACAGTTTGTTTCTCTTCATGGTAGCCTTTAAAGACATTTTGAGGATGTTTTTGGTATTTATCCCACATTACATTTTTCATAGGATTGATCTGGTTTTGTTCATAGTTTTGCATGAATGCTGCTGGAAAGATTTTCAGTTTGTTGGACATTTCGAGTGTTTTTGGTATCTATCCCACCTTAGATTTTTCATGGAATTGGTTTTGATAAATATGTTCATCAGTTGGATGTTTTGGTCGTAGGAGTTTTATGATTGATGTGGGTAAGAATTTCAGTTTTTTTGTTTTTATTTTATGGTAACCTTTAAGGACATTTAGAGGAGATGTTTAGTCCAATTAACAATTTTAAAAGGTGTGTCTGTTTATAGAATTTGTTTTCAGGTCATAACCATAGTTGATGGATGCAAATTTTGGGTCAGTGAGAATACCTTATTTATTAAGAAATCCATCATGTCAGTTTCTAATGAAAGAAAAATTTAATTTTTTATACATTAAAAAATCACTGCTACATGTATTAAATTCAGAAGTAACTTGCTCTAGCAGAAAAGTGTCATTTATAAGTTTAATTCTGCATGGGTAGTTCCAAAAGAGTATTTGAAATGTCAGTTTATTTAGTTCCGAAGTGAAAGATGATCAGCCATTGTTTGATGACTACTTAGACACATTTAACAATGTATGAATATTGATGCTGTGTTAATAAGATCTATAATTCTGGCATTGCTGTAATCATTCGTTGACACTTTATTGATTCCTCTTACAAACTGACGTGTCTTTTTACCTGTGTTTTCCTATATAGTAGGTAGTTAAACAGCTTTTCTTAATTACCTGAGTGTTTTTTCACTGTCAATCTGGTGCTTGGGAGTCTGCGATACCTGGGTTGATAAATTATTCACACTTGATTATTATTTCAGTAAATCTTATCATTAAAAAGGTTGGTTTCTGATATATTGACTTTTTTACTTTGATATTAATATATGCATCTTAGTAAATCTATTTTTTTTTTTTCAGCAATAGTTTTTTGAAAATTTTTGATTTTTGCAGTCTATGGTGTAAGATGATAGATATGATTTGCATATTTGATTTATATAAGTCAAATGATAATGCCTTTTTTGATATGATAGTGTTTAATAAAAAGTAAATGTCTTTATTTTGACTTTTCAGCAACAGATGCCAATGGGTCAGTATGGGAATCAGTATCCTCCAGGAATGTCTCAAAGACACCCTGGTCCCATGAATATGGGACCTGGTCCAGGGGCAGGTCCAGGCCCAATGATGAGAAATCCCATGTATACCAGAAGACCAGCACCATATCATAATCCTCACAATCCAAAGATGGGGACACGACCTTCTTTTCCAAATGGTCCACAGGTAGGTGTCATTTATCTTGTACTGCCTTTGAATGGACTAACAACAAAAAAGTTTGGTTTTTTTTAGGATAAAAAAAAAACTTGAATTCAATATTATGATTAGTTCTGTCAGGTTTTTTTTCAACCACTTTTTCTAGAAGATAAAACTCTGCTACAAGCAAAACACAATTGTTCGTCCAGTTATTTTATGATTGTTTTTGGTTTTTTTTAAACCAAACAATTAGAATGAAATTTATCACTGTCCCATGTGCATAATACTTATTTGTGTGCAGTATCTGTTTTGTTCAAGTCAAACAAATTTAACATTGTAACTATGCCCATAACACAGACTGGTTTCTTTGAAACAAAACAAAAAATGTTCAAAATGATGTTTGCATAGCTTTTTGTTATATAAAATTTGTTCGATAACATTATTTTATGAATTTGTAGTATAAATCTCTCCCATCAATTAAAAGATGCCCTTGTTAATGTGCCATATGTTGTTTCATATTTGCACCTCAATATTATTAGTAATAAATACTCTAAAGAAGTAAATGTTTTAGAAGATGCTGATTGGTTGAAGATTTTTGTACATAGTCATATTCTATCATTGCTCCATAGGTACTTTTTAAAACAATTTAACATCCAGGGTAGGAAACTCACTGGAAATGTCTACCAGACCACAGGGCTGGCTGCATAAAATAATTACCTGTCCTGATCAAAATTTACCAGCCCTGAAAATTAATGCAATAAAAATTAAACCCATTTTCCTTCAAGATTCTAAATTATGTTTTTGTGTTTTGAGATGTTTTAATGACTAGAAGTATTATTAGATAAACTTGAGGATATTTTGTGATGAAAATGACTTATTACTGCTTTTGTAAATACACACTGCAACAAGACTTACAAGTGCACATTTAAGCAGACACTGCTAAGCCTAATGACCATTTGTTCAGAAGCAAAGTGTGATTTAATTTTTAGAATTTGGGGTGGGCACTGGGGGTGTTAGTTTGTCTTCAGTGTAATTCAGCATGCCTTTGTTTGTACCTTTGTTCCACAAAATTACTTTTAAGCAAATAAAAATAAAATTTTGGTTTCATTTATAATTTTATTGCTCCTCATTTTCACAATATTTAAAACTCAACCACTCGAACTCCGTTTTCCAACCAGGAACAATTGTCCGCTTCCTCTTAGACTGATCGTACAATTTATTTTTTCCTGTTGAGTCAACAGTAGTTCGCTTTTTCGGCGACGAAAGGCCCAATTACTGTCGTAAAGACATGAGTTTACCAAAACAAATTTGTACTTTTGATTTCCTCTAATATTTATTTTTTATTTAAAAAACGCGATCCCGATTGGACGATTCGATACCAACTAGCCAATGAGTACAAATCTTACAAACAACAGGTATCACCATGTTCCATGCAGAAATCGCGTGGAAACACGTGGTAGTAAAAGGTTAATTGGCAGTCATGATTCTTACGTGCTGTTATGAATGGGGTAATACTGAGAACTCATTCCAAAAATAGAAAAAGGTAATCCCAACCACCTGCAAAAAATAGACCGTCCACCGGACTGTTGAAATTTAATTTTTGACCGCCCGATCGTAAAATAGGCCGTCTCGGGCGGGCTATAATTTCCAACTCTGTTAACATCAGATAATTGAATCACATGAAAGATAGGTCAGAAACTAGGATGTTATATTACCTGCCAGCTGGTGCAATATTTAGTTCAGTATCCAAGGAAAGATGTATATAATATAGCAGTCTTGGAATATTATGTTTTCAGATTAGATAAAAACTAGAGCAACTTCATAAAAAAACTAAACGTTCCCAGTATATTAAGTAAAAAATAAAAAAATATTAAAAAAAAAAAAAAGTTTTATATTATTTCTTTATATATTAAAAAGGCCAATAGATACATGCAAGGTGCCTCTAATTATTCAATAATTGTTGATGTTGTATGTTATCTTTTACTCATGCTTATAAACAGAAACTTTACAAATCAATTTGTAAATCAGATGAAGTGATCACTTATTGTACAATAGTGCAAGGGGAGTTAACTCTAGTTATTATCTATTTTAGTATGGTGATCAGTATAACAACCAACAGCAGTATTCTGGTGGAAAATACCCACCGACACAGCAGCCACTTCCTTCACCTACATACCACCAACAACCAGGAATGCGACCCAACCCTGGTGGCCCATATCCCAGCATGCCTAATGGTCAGGCATACTACAATAATCCAGTTGGCAGATCAATGCCACCCCAGCCACAGAACTTTAATTATAACATGGGACAACAAGGCATATCTGTAAGTAAAATTATGTATGATAAATGTATCTTATTTGAACCATTGATTTTAGACTTAAAGATCTTTTTTTAATTAAGATCTAATGAGAAAGATTAAATTGCAATAAACTTGACCTTAAATCATATTCATACATGTAATAAAATTCTGAGGTTAATACATAAAAATTTATTACCAATAATTCTGCAACATTTGGTTTCATAGTTAAAGGTGTGCTTTGAAACTTAATTTATGTCAGTATCTAACTTTCTAGTATACCAATTGGTCATTGAAATATATATTTTTCTTCTTTTTTTCAGTCACCACCATCAAATTATCCTCATTCCCCATTACCTGGAAATCCGACCCCACCCATCACTCCTGGGCCAGGTCCTAACGGTTATAATGGACCTATGCCAAATGGACCACCAATGCCAATTAAAAAAGGTATGTATATACTTGACATTTTATTTATTTTGATCTATTTTACATCCTATTTATTTCCTGTCATTGTAGCTTAAATCCACAATCATTGTGTTGGTTATTTTACGTGGTCACTATTTTTAAAAATCAAGGTCATTTGTTAAAGAGTTAGAAATGTTGATTTTTATCTTTATTGTCATAGAAAGTAAGAATTCAGACTTTATAGAATTTAAATCTCAAAACTTTATATTGCATTACTGGTAAAACTCTTAACTTCTTGAAAGCTGAACTCAAATAAGCAGATTTACTTATGATGAACAAATGTTTCCTATATATTTCTCACTGGTATGATTTTAATATTTAATTCTGAACTGGTCTAATTTTTGTTTTTTATTCACTTGTGGTTTTGTTTGTATTTTAGATCCTGAAGAATTACGATTGACGTTTCCTGTACGAGATGGTGTGGTGTTACCGCCTTTTAGACTGGAGCATAACTTGGCAGTTAGTAACCATGTCTTCCATCTGAGGGAATCTGTTTATCAGACATTAATGTTCAGGTTAGTCACTAGCTGTCCAGCAGGGTTCTCACTAACATGTGTGCATGAGTCCTGGACTGATGAAAATCAGACTGTACTTGATAGTATCTCACTAGTGAGTCCATAGATGCATCTTAATTGTTATCAGCTGAGTCAATTCATAATTTTATTGCAAAAGTTGAAAAATAAATTTTTCTCTTTTGTCATTTTGTTTGTAAGAAGACTTTCATTGATGTTGTTTGTCTACAAAACTTAAAACTTGGTCTGGCTAAAAATGGGGTATCCCTGGACTCCCAGAAATAATCCTTCATGAGAACTCTGTTTTCCAGTAAACCTGATTAAGGTATTTCAAAAATATTTCATATACATGAAAATCCGTATCATAATTTTTGTAACTATGTAACTATTTGTTGCTGTAAACATGCTTTCTATCAACATAGTTTACCTAATTTAATGTCAGTGAACTTAATAATACAAGATCAATGAACTAGTGGTAGGAAACGTTTTTTGTTTTGCTTAGTAAGAATAACAAATGTTCAAATCAAAGATTTATGTAGAGGCTTATCCTCTATTATCATTGAATTGTATGCCATTTAAAATTTGATGGACTTAACTATTTGTTGACCTAGATGTTGTTTATGGTTTCGATGACCTATTTGTTGACCTAGATGTTGTTTATGGTTTGGATGTTGTTATATCATTGATGTTTATCCTTTTTTATCTTGTTTATACTTGCTTATAAAGTTTTATTTCTGAAAATAAGAAGGTATGTTGACGTCCAAATGTCTTCTGGTTATTTGTGTTGGGTCGCTGTCTCATTGACATATACTCCACATCTCTTATTACTATATAAAATACATCAGTTTTAACAGTAGCTGAGATGTGCACATCTTTAAAAAGGATGATGATTAAAAACTAAATTTAGATATGTTGTGGGCATTTCTGAATGAAATTGTTGATCATCGGTCAAAAATGTGAGTGTGATTTATGCAATATCAGTTAACGCTACATACAAATAATGTAATCAAAATCTAATTAATACAATTCACAATCCTGCCTCATATTACACAATAACAGAAACATAAAAGATTTCTGGATTTGCAATAATTATATAAAATAAATTAATGAAATAGTAAATGATATTAATAGCAACTTTGTTTTTCTTCAGATCTGATTTAGAGTTACAGCTGAAATGTTTTCATCACGAGGACAGACAGATGAATACTAACTGGCCAGCATCCGTCACAGTCAGTGTCAACGCTAATCCTCTCAACATTGAACGTGGGGAAAATAAAACCTCTCATAAACCATTATACCTCAAAGATGTCTGTCAACCAGGCAGAAATACCATTCAAATTACAGTCACTGCATGTTGTTGTGTAAGTATAAGTTACAGGCTATTGTTGGATGATTTTTTTAATGGTACCATGTTTGAAAAACATTTTTGGAACTGTATTTACCTTTGAGTTGAAATTTAAAAAAAAAGAAATAGTGGTAATGTCGGAGAGAAACTGATAGCTTCTTAAAACCGATGTGATATTACGCATTTGAAAAAAAGGATTAAGATGACAAATCCCAAAAACTAAGAAATTACAAAAATAAAACACTAGACATTTGTTACATACACTAAGAAAAAAATAAAAGGAAGACATAGATAATGTAATACATATAGGTTATGAAAAAGGTATATTCTCCAAAATCAATTTCCACATATGTATTGGCATCTTTAGAGGAATACATTTTTTAAAGACCTCATTGGAACAAATATAATTGTCTCATTATCATGACTAAGTGCATGCACTTTTTAATGAAAGAGTTGGGTTTAACCATGTGTAACTACTAAACCCCATACTTGTACAACACTTAATTCCAGTTCAAATTTATCTATGTAATTTTGATATAAATTCCTCAATCATTCTGGCCATGACTGTACTGTAGTCTTACTATATCTAATAGCTTATTAAATCTATTTTCAGTCTCATTTGTTTGTTCTACAATTAGTACATCGACCAAGTGTACGATCAGTTTTACAAGGGTTGTTACGGAAACGGTTGTTACCAGCAGAACATTGTATTACAAAAAGTAAGTAGTAACTGTTGGGAAATATATGTATATATAAGGAAAATGAGATAGAAATACTAAACAATATGTAAACTTAAATCATACAATATGACACATATGTAAACTTATACAATATGACACATATGTAAACTTAAATCATACAATATGACACATATGTAAACTTTAATCATACAATATGACACATATGTAAACTTGAATCATACACTATGACACATATGTAAACTTGAATCATAGACTATGACACATATGTAAACTTAAATCATACAATATGACAATATGTAAACTTAAATCATACATTGATGGAACATACTTTAATAAAATGGTCATGGCAGTTGAAATCTATACCATGCATAATTTTTTTTTTCATGTTGGTTGTTCTTAAGAATATAAAAGAAGTCATCCACAGAATATTTCCAAATTAAGAGCATTAAGTTGAAATGGGTTGTAAATGGTTCTTAATTTAAAAGTCATGTATTTTAAGAAAATCTGCGGTCATTTTGTAACTTTGATTTTGTTTTACTTTTCAGTCAAAAGAAATTTTAGCAATGTTGCACCAAATTCATTAAATGGTGAAGATGGAGTTGAACAAACAGCGATTAAAGTTTCATTAAAATGTCCAATCACCTTCAGACGGATAACACTGCCGGCAAGAGGTCATGAATGTAAACACATACAGGTTAGTTTGATATTGCTTAGACCATAAGTTTTGTAGGGGGTTAACATTTACAGGTTGAAACAGTATAAGATATATAACAAGGGAGGTAAAAAAAGGAAAGATAACACTAAAAGAAAAAGAAAAAAGGACAATCAACAGTAAAAACTGAAAACAAAAGATTGAGTGATGCTTATGATACCAAAACGTTAAGAGTGAGCTCAAATGATCTGGAATGGTAACTTTCTTGCTCTAAATGAAATCACGAATATTAACACATACCGGTAAGAAGGGACTACACTGAAATTTGTATTTTATAATTTAATTTGTTACCTTTGGAGAACTATGTTAACAGTTGATAATTTTCTTTAATTTGTTACCTTTGGTGAACTATGTTAACAGTTGATAATTTTCTTTTACAGTGTTTTGATCTTGAATCATATCTACAGTTGAATTGTGAAAGAGGGTCATGGAGATGTCCAGTTTGCAAGTAAGTATAATCTCTGTTGTTTTCTGGTAGACACTGAAAACCTGATATAAACCATGTTTTACTTTTATTAAGTCTTTAATTTTTGATTATTTCATTTTGGTATAAAAAAAAGAAGTTTTGGTACACATGCCTGCTGATTAAGATATCTGTCTTATTTTTCCACTCTTTTATTTAACTTAGTGTCATTTTATAAATAATGACTGCATGTTAAATTCTAAATTAAAACAGACTGATGAATTAAATGTTTCTTTTTTTTTATTTACAGCAAAACAGCATTATTAGAAGGTTTAGAAATAGACCAATATATTTGGGGTATTCTGACAAATCTTCAGACGACAGAGTTTGAGGAAGTTACTATTGATCCTCTGGCAGCATGGAAACCTGTACAACATAAAACTATCAAAGAAGAGGAAGCCGGTATGTTATGATATTGTTTACATCAATACTGAAAAAGAATTCTTATATTAAAATACTGTAAACCAACTAATTTTCGGGAGTGATTTATATTTCCGACTTATGTGAGGAGAAAAATAATGTGAAACTAAATTGTTGCAAATATTAAAACTTGGATCTTCCCTTTTTTTTTTTTTAAATCAAGTAAATTTGAAAATTGCGGAAATAAATCACTGCAAAAAGGCCTAGAAAGGACTAAATCCGAAATAAAATATCCACGAAAATAAGTTGATTTACAGTATATTTTGAAATGTTTGAGTGGCTGCAGAAAGTATATATGATGTTAAAAAAAAAACATTGTAATATTTCATACTTTTAATCTCAACTGTAAATTTACATTAAAGCATGTGAAACAAATTTAGAAGAACTTAATAGGAAAGAAAATAATTCATTACATAGTCTTCTTAAACAGGTCATAAGAATGAATAAAGTGTAATTGAAATAGATAGTGATGCAAGTCTCACATTTTAAATTTTGAAAATATAATTATTTTGTGTAGATAAATGTCATAACCAGTGGGATATTGTGGTAGAAATTATTTATAAATTATTGAGACAAAATATAGTTCTGAAGGTGTATTTTATTCACAGAGTCCTGTAGTGGTCGATGGATAAAAGCTATGTCTCCATCAAGTATGCAGTTGCCCACCATGAATTCATGGGATGTGGGTCGAGGGCCGTCACCATTTACTGGGAACATGCCACCTTCATCACAGAATATGCAGGGTAGGTTTATTTACTCACATAAATGCTTTAATGTAGCAAAATATCTTTATAATTGATTAGGTTGACTTTAAAAATAACTGGAATCTTACTAGATAACATTATTAGATATTCATTAGGAAAAAAAAGGATCACTTGAATTTTAAGATCTCAAAGTTGGTTATTTTGATAATAGAATGACCCTTTTTTTTTAAACTTGAGTATATTTTGGGCAAAATTATCTAGATTTAATATTTCTTTTATTTCAAAGTCAAGTAGTGAGTTTCAAATTTGTTTAGAATTCACAATACAACAACATGGAAATTAATATTTACCTTATATTGTAGGTCCACCTTATTCAAACATGCACAGCAATGATGTCATGCCAAATGGAGGCCCATCACCTATGAGCTATCAGCACCCCGCTACTCCCGGGGATTATAACAATCCTCTCTCACACATGTCACCTCCCACAAGTGTGGAAGCCATGAATAGCATGAACAATGTAAATATTAAAAGTGAACTTCATTCTTCTGTAGACATTCAAAATCATATGAATCAGTATTTACCAACCGTGAGTGACACGACGCCGTTGCGACATCCTGATTCAAGCAATATTAACAATTGTGGAACTCCATCCAGCCAATCACAGAACCAAATTAATGGCAGCCAACTTAACCATGGTACACCAAATGGAATTCAGTCGAACAATTCAGGGGCAGATAATAATACTATAGGAGATTTGAGCTTTGACCCATCAAGTGTGATAGATGGTGAAGGTCAAACTCCAACATTAGATGTAAGTATCTGTTATTTAAATATTTATGATTCATTCCTAACCTTTATTTAGGAGATTGCTATATATTAATGAGCAGGTCATTCTTTAAGAAATATATTGATCATAAAAACAAAAATAAACCAGAAAAACATGGGATAAAATATAGATGAATAGAAAAAAAAGGCAGTTGAAAGATAATGCTCTATTTTTTAATTATATTCTTTATTTATTTAAAGAGGATTGCCAACAGCCAGAGGCTACGTGTGGTTCTCCTCAACATAGATATATACAGATTCACAATTAACAAAGATTGTTTTAGTTTACAAACATGTTTAACACAAGACAAGACAATATGTACAGGACAAGACATATGAATGAAATTAGACTACACACCTATCCAATCACTCACTCATTCTTACTCACATACACACCGCTTTACAAACATGTTGGATTCAGTAATATAGAATAATAATTATGGAAAGACGATTTTTTTTCAAGAAACAATATTCACACAAAACTATTTAAAATAAGGATAACTATAAAAAGAAACATCACATTTATGTTTTTTTTAAAGTTCATTATTGCATATAGAGCTTACACATAAAAGTAAGACCAAGATAGCTCATATCATTGATTTCAAATATAAACAAGAAACAGTTTACATGTATTTGGTTGCAGATTTATTGCACTTTGCACACCATAAACTTGATATGGGATTTAATAGTTTTATGCATTTACAGTAAAGTAAAGTTGCAACTCCATTTCATCAGATCAATAATAATTCAGTGTATTGCTCCTTAAATATTTTAGTATGTAGAGTGTCTGTTATCAGCTCTTTTATTGCTAGTTTGCTTTTTTTGAACAGACAATTTACAATAAGAAAAAGAATTGACTGGGTTTCGTTTATGAAAGACAATACTTTACAAGATTAAACTAATGTCTGACATTTAACATTATTAGGATAGACATATTACATAACATTTGCATTGAATGAATTAATTATCTTATTTGATCTTTATTGATTGAAATTGATAAGAACAGAAGTCAGTTTCATCCTACAGATTATTTTGTAATGGTAGATTAATTCAGTAAAAGTAATTTTTCACATTCCGATTTTCTTTCCAGTATTATGGAGTAATATGTTAATATTTGATTACATAGTATCTGTCCATGTTTTATGTTATATCAATACATCTTCACATGTAAGTGATCTGTGTTTTACTGCTAACATAAACAAAAGTTACAGTTAAAGACAAAATATGATTTACTCATGATTCTAAAAATAGATTTAATAATAATTAAAATTGACAACAACACTTCAAAAGATCTGCAATTTTATTATCTATGTCTACATGTTTCGCCTGCAAGGCAGGCTTCATCAGGACAATTTTTATACAGAATTTAATCCCTGAAGTACTCAAAGTGGTGCATGAAATTTGACGTCGTCATGGTGAGAGAAACAATGAAAAGTGAAAGTAGCAATACAGAGTTATAAATAGATAAGATAAATATAGAAAATTAAAGTTTGTTTACAATGTAACTTGAGTTTGTTTTACTATTATATGATACATGAAATTGTTCTAATGGCTTGGTATCTAATTGGACGAACTTCCCATGGTTCCTACCACTTCGCAAGGCTTCTCTTCCAACCTGGCCATTGTTGGAGGTTACTACTTCCTGGCGCGTCGGCAACACATAGGAAGATTATGGTCGCCGCTATGTAAAATAAAATTGTCAAAAAATGTTCCCTTGTTAATTATTTGGTGACTCTCTATAATTTTTGGATCGTCTGCAGTAGTTGTTCTGTTTAATAGCATGGTTGTGAGTTCCTAGTTCATTTAAGATCGGCGCCCGTGGTACGTTTTTTCTGCTAACAGTTATATATATATGTTAAGGTGGTATCGGATTTCTTGGTCATCTTGGTTCAGTTGTTATTTCGTCGCAAGTATGGAATATTCCTTGGTCCATGTATATGCTGGTGGCCTGTAGATTGGCGCGTGTAGCAAGGCGGTTCCTTTCGGATGCAGGGGTTCACGATTAAATAATAAATTAAATTCCGTGTGGTGAACCAACGCCTGTGAAATCGTTTTGGTAGAGTCCCTGAAGTGGATACCTTGGTATGCCGGGTTGTCAAATCATGCAAATGAATGCAATCCTTAAATAATAATTAAAATTGACAACAACACTTCAAAAGATCTGCAATTTTATTATCTATGTCTACATGTTTCGCCTGCAAGGCAGGCTTCATCAGGACAATTTTTATACAGAATTTAATCCCTGAAGTACTCAAAGTGGTGCATGAAATTTGACGTCGTCATGGTGAGAGAAACAATGAAAAGTGAAAGTAGCAATACAGAGTTATAAATAGATAAGATAAATATAGAAAATTAAAGTTTGTTTACAATGTAACTTGAGTTTGTTTTACTATTATATGATACATGAATCATATAATAGTAAAACAAACTCAAGTTACATTGTAAACAAACTTTAATTTTCTATATTTATCTTATCTATTTATAACTCTGTATTGCTACTTTCACTTTTCATTGTGACGACGTCAAATTTCATGCACCACTTTGAGTACTTCAGGGATTAAATTCTGTATAAAAATTGTCCTGATGAAGCCTGCCTTGCAGGCGAAACATGTAGACATAGATAATAAAATTGCAGATCTTTTGAAGTGTTGTTGTCAATTTTAATTATTATTTAAGGATTGCATTCATTTGCATGATTTGACAACCCGGCATACCAAGGTATCCACTTCAGGGACTCTACCAAAACGATTTCACAGGCGTTGGTTCACCACACGGAATTTAATTTATTATTTAATCGTGAACCCCTGCATCCGAAAGGAACCGCCTTGCTACACGCGCCAATCTACAGGCCACCAGCATATACATGGACCAAGGAATATTCCATACTTGCGACGAAATAACAACTGAACCAAGATGACCAAGAAATCCGATACCACCTTAACATATATATATAACTGTTAGCAGAAAAAACGTACCACGGGCGCCGATCTTAAATGAACTAGGAACTCACAACCATGCTATTAAACAGAACAACTACTGCAGACGATCCAAAAATTATAGAGAGTCACCAAATAATTAACAAGGGAACATTTTTTGACAATTTTATTTTACATAGCGGCGACCATAATCTTCCTATGTGTTGCCGACGCGCCAGGAAGTAGTAACCTCCAACAATGGCCAGGTTGGAAGAGAAGCCTTGCGAAGTGGTAGGAACCATGGGAAGTTCGTCCAATTAGATACCAAGCCATTAGAACAATTTCATGTATCATATAATAGTAAAACAAACTCAAGTTACATTGTAAACAAACTTTAATTTTCTATATTTATCTTATCTATTTATAACTCTGTATTGCTACTTTCACTTTTCATTGTTTCTCTCACCATGACGACGTCAAATTTCATGCACCACTTTGAGTACTTCAGGGATTAAATTCTGTATAAAAATTGTCCTGATGAAGCCTGCCTTGCAGGCGAAACATGTAGACATAGATAATAAAATTGCAGATCTTTTGAAGTGTTGTTGTCAATTTTAATTATTATTTAAGGATTGCATTCATTTGCATGATTTGACAACCCGGCATACCAAGGTATCCACTTCAGGGACTCTACCAAAACGATTTCACAGGCGTTGGTTCACCACACGGAATTTAGATTTAATAATGTTTTTATCTCTTTCAGCTTGATTTGAACTTAACAGATCCTATGGAGTTGTTATCATATTTAGGGCCTTCGGAAAATTCTAATAATAACTCAGGTTCAGTCACATCGGGAAACACAGGGAACAATCAAAACTCTTCTAATACTACGTCGAGTAACAATGACGATTTACTGGCCTTGTTTGAATGATCAGTTGAGTGACAAATGACACACACAGCATAGGGCCAGTAAATTGGAGACGGTTTGTTTCCTGTAAACAGTGCTATTGTTTTTCATTACTACTGCAAATGGTGGACTGTGAATGTTGATTCATGTTTAAATCTGCCAGTGTAAATTCATAATCGTAGAAGTGGTTGTTGAAACAGGAGGGTAATAAGGTGCAAAATTTGTGGACAGTGATAGCCGTTGAGGTTGATATCAACAAGTTTTAGCATTCAGTTTACTGCTATGTAATCTGTATCATGTGATCAACATTGTCATGCAAAAAAAAAAAACAATATGGTAGACAGATCTGCAAGAACAATGATCAATTTCATCGAAACTCATTCATTTATTTATTTTATCATTGTATCTCAATTTGACTTGCCCAAAGAAAACAGTACAGAACATTTATTCATGTGAACAAACTCTTCGTGCAAAATGAAGGATAGTGACCTTTGAGCTATTTACAATGATCATGTGACTTTATACAGATGTGATATGTTTATTATCAGTAAATATGCTGGTCTTGACCAAGACATTATACTTTAAAAAGGCAGCATTATCAATATCATGTGAAAATCAAGACACATTGTGCTTATAATGATGATGACGATGTTGTCATGTTGTCATTTGGGAAAATCCTAATTGTGGTTGTTATCATGGACTGCAATACATTATAATTGTGAAATGCTGTTGCAAAATAAGGAGCATTTTGTTAGAATCATATCTCAGTGCAAAAATCATGAACTTAAAATTGCAATAATTTGAACTATTTCAATCTTCTTGCTCTTCACAATTCACAAGTATTGGTCAAGCTATTTATGGTCTATATCTATTGAATGGTTTAAGCTCTAGTTTAATGTCTCAATTTTTATTAAATTTTGCTGCTATTAAATATTTTAAAAACATTCAGAATTTTTTTAATTCAAAACTAAATAATCATTGAATAGTAAATTTTAAAATGAAAGTGCATAGATCATAAATTTTGGTTTACGATATAAAACTTGGATTTTTTTTACGAGCAAACCATGAATCTTTGCTGAAGCAGATTATTTTAAAAGAGGAATTTAATTTCTACGAATTTTCTAATTTATGGAAGGATCCATTTAAGAAACAGCCTCTTTCTGATCTGCACATAAATACTACTGTAAAAAATTTAAAGTGCAATATAGATGCCTTACTTAATGTGATCAACAAATTTGTATTTATTTTCATAGTTCTTTGTAGAATTTCTTGAATTATTTTTTTTTAATGTAGACAGTCATATCATAAAAAAACAATTTATTTTACATGCAATCTATTTTTCGCAATTTATAATCACAGTGTTAGAAGTCTTTACTAAATAAGTAACAGAATCTGCATTACATTCAGTGATGATACTAAACTAAGAAGCAGACTTTGAAAAAAAAAGTGATGAAGAATATCTCTTAGAAAGGTCAATACAAAAGGTATATGACTGTCTACACCAAATATTTTTTATAAATTGTTAAGAGACAACATGTACTTTTTTGCAAACTTAACTGATTAATTTTAAATCATTTGTGCAATTATATGAAAAGAATTTATCTTTGGCAATTCATTTGTAATCAATGTTTACCATGACAATTCGAAATATTTTTAATTTTTTTAAGAAAAATTGTTATTTTGTTGTTTTTAAACCCAGAACATTGAATTATTTTTATGAAATCACCATTACAAATCAGTTCATTTCACCTTGTTGACATCTTTTTAAAAGATCTTGTATGAATTATTTTGTCTCGCGCAAGGCGTTAATTATTATTTATAATGTGAAAGACATTTTTTAACTGTTTACTGTGGTTTTAAGAAGATAATGAAAGGAGATGAGTTTGCCAATTTTTTGTTTATGTTGTACTGTTGACTATAAGCATTAATTTACATTTTTTGCCAGTGTTTATATATAACCAGATTTATCATATACCAGTGTATTATATATGTAAATTATTTAAGATGTGAACGCATCATCTGTACAGAAATTTGAAAATGAAATTTAACGTAACCATGGCGTCTGTTTTTTGTGCCGAAGCCAAGTTCATATAACAAAAAGTAGATTAGTTTTAAAACATTTCTCTGTATATATTGACTTTTTATAAGTAGAAACATGATTTGTAGTCATAAACAAATATATAAACTATTTTTTGTGAAGATTTATTTATGCTTTATGTCTTCTCATTGGCAGTCAGTTGTAGAGTCACTTTTGCCAGTTGGTTTGCAACAGTTTTGCTTATTGCCAAAATCAGTCTTATTGTGTTACATAAAATATGATTGTTGCAGAAGAGTTTTCGATCAATATTTTCATTTATTTTTTAAATGATAGTAAAAATTATGCATTAATTTTAATCTTAGGAAAAAATCTCATTGTTTTTTCGTTTATTACTCTTTCAAGTTTAAATAACACATTTCCTCTGATTTTTTCTTTGTTTTTAATGGAAAAATCAAAGAGAAAAGGTAGCAAGTAGATTTGTTTTGGCAGCAAGGAAAATGTATGTTGCAGTTCATTTGAAAGAGATTTGCATTTGAAGAATAATGAAATAATTGCCCCCCTTTTCAGCATTCTGTTTATACAGCTGTAGTTACCTGGGTTAAAAATCTAAAATCTGTCTATGCAATGTGCTATGTTAACTTTTCACGTTTTTGTTTGATCAGGGAATAATTATAAAGCACATTATTTTATCCGTCAGCTATGCATACTCTCAGGATTAGCATACATCCAGATTTCTGATATCACGTGCAGATCTCTTTCAGCTGAGTATTTGTTTCCATCTGTTACTTCTAAATGTGACAAAGAGTAACTTTTCTACCTGCCCCTTTAATTCTGGTTGTGTTGTCAATTTATGACAAAAACGCATTTCATATATTTTAGAAATTATATATTCAAAAATAAATTCATGGCAGCCTGAAAAGTATTCACTTGGCAAAAAGTTCTTAGCATTCAATTGTTGTAGGTTGCAATAGGTTATCTGTTGATGGCTCCCCTCAGTTGTATTAGTTCCTCCCTTTTAATGTGAAATAATCAATTTTGCAATAGAAAAAAAAGCCAATTAATGCAATAGTTTGTCATAATATCTTGGCAATATAAATTCATTTTCCCTAAACCAAAGAAGATTAAAAGGATCGAAAAAATATCAGTTCTTTTATTTGTAAACAAAGAAAGTGCTCATGATCATTTTAATAAAACCATAAAGAGTGGTATATGTGTTATTGAATGCTCTAGTTTTAATTTTATATGAAATGTTACTTAAAAAAGAAAGTTGATTTATTTTTGTCTTTTTTACGTTAATGACTTGCAAGATGAAGTTCTTGAAGGGACCATTATCAATACAGTTGATCAAATGCACTTCTTTCCATGAGAACAAGATGATTCTAAATGTTGCAATTTGGACTGATTATTTCTATAACAGAAAAAAATTGTCCTTACATGACATAATACAGTGTACATGACATTTCTAGACATGAAGTATTCATTTTAATCGCCAAATACAGTTCTCTAAGAATGAAACTATGAAGAATTTATTTCAAATATCATACAATGCATTGAAAGGGACTGAAATTTTGAACAAGTGCAACATTTAGACTCTATCTTGTTTACCTAGGACACATAATACTAAACACAATAAATATGTTCGGATGCAGTCAGTGTTTTTAAAATGGCTATTTTTCTGTGAGAAAGTGCAATCACATGTTAGATGTCACCTGCAACTATGTACTTTAGTCCCTTACATGTGATCATTATTTATCTAATAAAAAAGGAATTATTACAAATCATAGAAGTTTTTAATGTGTTATGTTTGATGCCATGATCCATCAATACCATATGTTTATCTTGTACCATGAAATTACGTGACATAATGCAGGGGTACAACATATACATCCTATTTTGTGTGACAGTGTTGAAAATATAAGTAACCCTTTATAAATTTGTTGTGTCCAAAGTGCTTTGTGGATTTACCTTTATCATGAACGCTCATACACCAAAAATTGGAAGCAAAGGCTGTGTAACTATAATGCATTGATACAGCATACATATCCTCTGTAATATGAGAAAGGTGGCATAGTGCATAGGTACCACATATATATCCATGTCAGACAGAATAAAGAACTACAGCCAGGACAGCTTACCGGTACACACATGTGAGTTAAGGTGATTGAGCATAACATTAACTGGAATGATACCCTGCATCAGGTGTTGGAAACATTCTTGATAAAGGACCTTAATTGCCTTCATTCATTTTAGTTTGATAATCACATTTTATAAAACATGGAAACAACTCTTTATAAATTTCATTAGTCTGAAGGGCTTTTCTGGATTTACCTTTATCAGGAACGCTCAAAGCCGAATTTTCTAAAGCGAAGGATGTATTGATAATGGAAGTCAATATTGGCAATTGACTTGGTAAACGAAATTGTTTTTTAACTACACTCACTAAAGAGAAATCTAGAACACTAACATGTCTGTTTTGTGACTGTTGAATAACATCCAAAGAGGATGAACTGTATCTTCCTTCATTCTATTTGATACCAAATTACATAAGTTTGCCTGACAAAAAAGTTATATTGCTATGTCTGTAAAATGGTCCTCAAAACCTTCCTTTCCAGTTTGTTACTTTCTTCTTTATCATCAATTGAAACCTAGCTGCAGAGCAATTATAAAACTGTCTTCTCTAGGGGGTGTTTGAATCTGATGAGGATACTAAAAACCAAAAATCTGTTATAAGAGTATATACATTCCAAGTGCAATAATATGAACACTTTAGACTTTTTAGAACAAGTTTTCCTGGTTTTAATCTTATCTTAAGACCCATTGAAAGAATTAGACTAACTTTGTTTCATAAAGAAAATGGTTCACATAAAATGAAATCATACTTTTAAAAAAAAAACATTCAGATTAACACAGAAATTGACATCTTATCGATGCTTGATTTTTTTACAACATATTTCTGGGTTGGCTTTCAAATATTTGGCTTAGAGTGTTCCTGATGAAGGTTAATCAAGAAAAGTGCTTCGGACGTATGACATTTATAAAGTGTTGTTTTAATTTTTTTGGTGGACCTGTTTTATAACAGACATTCGACATTCATATTAGAACCAGCTGTGCTCTTCTACTTGCCATGTTGTTCCTTCATGACACAAAATTTACCAAAACTCTGTGATGAATGCACCCTTCAGCTAGTTGTCTCATTTATGTGTTTCATATATGTCATCTTATTCAGCAAGATAGAATTACTTGAAAAAAAATGTAGGTTACGAAAGTAATGAATTGTGATATATTGGTTTAACTTATGGTTTCCCAAATCCTGAGTTATCTTGTGATCCTCATCTAATTATTTAGTAATTTAACATTTTCTATGCCAAGCATTGGATCATACTTCAGGTAGTCAATTAATCCAAGAGTGAAAGTTTTTTACATAAATTTCAATGGTTTAAAATTCTCTGTCAGGGTTATTTTTTTAATGTCCACGAGATGCAGTTATAATAATCTGTTCTGTCACCATATTGAAGCCATATAAGCTTTAACGAGGCAACTATTTTCACTTTGATAATTTTTTCCATACACTTCCTGCTTGATATCTTTCGTTTCATCTGTGCTGTTAATTATTAATTAATATTTCGAATGATATAGCTACCTAATTTTAGAAACATTTTATGTCTGTAAAATGGCTTACAAAGTTGACAAATCCAGTAATATTCTGAAATAAAGGTATTTTTACAAACAATAATTTCCAGATATACAAGGCAATTCATAGAAAATTGTGGTAAAAACTAAACGGTCCAACAAACAACTAGTATTAATGTTGAAACGATCCATATAATGAAAAATAAATGTTTTGAATTATTAATCTCCCAGATATTGATCTGCCAATGCCCAGATTAAAGATCTACACTGCATAAGCATTTAGAGCGTATGTTTTGGTCAAATAGTCATTTATACCATATCATTTTTATAATGATATACATCTTTTGCCCAGAATACAGGATACTTTTTATTCCACTTATTTTTTCAGACAGAACGGAATTTTGACTTTCTTATAATATTTATGGTTTAGCATTTGCTGCCTCATGTTTCAAAAAAGTGCAAGACTGAGTGTCTTATGATCTTTGCTGATTCTGTTGATTACCAAATTGATGTGATCACAATGCTAATTATGTTGCAAACAGATTTAGAATGATGCAAACAGATATGTATACTAGTATGTGCAAAAGAGGCGAGAGCCATGGCAAAAAACGAAAAACGATCAAAAGACAAACAGTATACAAAACACATTATAGAAAACTAAAGACTGGGCAACGCGAACCCCACCAAAACCGGGGATGATCTTATGTGCCCTGGAAGGGTACGCATATCCGTCTCTACATGTGGCACCGGTCGTGTTGCTCATGTAAGTACAAACCAGGTGATAAGTCTAATCCGGTAGGTCACATTCGAGGAAGAGTACGGGCTTGTCGTCCTGACAATTAGAACATCTTTGTCGTCATCTGTGGAACAGATATTCCATAATGGTCAACCAATTCGTGATGGTGTCCGTGGAATTTTCGATGGAATGATTTCAATTTCACCTCTTGGAACTCTTGGTTTAATAGCTTCCTTGTGAGCAGCAACCCTCTATCAAGAAAATCATGATAGAAAATACTAGCTCCGGAATATCGTTTAACTGGAAAATATATACTCCATATACAGGCGCTGCTGGAATATTGCTGGATAGAAATGGAAAGTTTACAATCATAAATCAGTCAAATATAAAATTCCTTCTTTTTACAAGATACGTTTGTTCCAGGCATCATTTGTATCTATACAAAAACTCATCATAGATACCAGGAATAAAATTATTACAACACCCTACAACATATGTCGTGTGAAAAATATTTAATTCCAGACTCTGAATGCACCCTGAGTTCATAATTCATGTATAACGCTGCCTGACATGAAATATGGGTACTTTAACATTGTCAACACACTTCAATACGAAATTTGCTAGTCATAATGAAAGAAATACCATGTGCATAAATTGATAAACTAGGAACACGACTTTAAAGGTAATGGATTCAGTTGAGATTTATGCCAGACCAACAAAAAAAATAGTTGTAGATACACTTTCCAGATAGGGTTCAGAATGAGTTCGTTGATAAATATCAGAGTTATGAATTGTCATAGGTCTATGAACACTCATACTACATCTTACATTGAAGACCAAAATACCACCACAGTCATGAAAATATGGTGTTGACCAACAGACAAACGGTATTTGAAATTTACTAGAATATCCAACGTATACTCCCACGAAAATTACTAAAGAGAAAATCATGAACAATCATCATAGACCTGTTTTATTTTCAGTTAGAACTTGGAATATCAACTGATTATCAAGAACAGGATCTTGCTTCTATCTGGTGGATACCCAAACAACATTATGCCAAATTTCCCCAAAGCCTCTTTTCAGATTATTAACCTCTATTTTATCAACAATCAAAACTGGGCTTCAGAGTTACTATGAAACTACCTATCCGAGAGGCGGTGTGAAGTAGACGTCGAAACTAAAAAAATCCACAGATCTTTGAAAGTACATTCAAACAAAGTCAATCTGCTCATCCAAAACATTTGACTTTAAGTATTCCTCGTTGATATCAACTGTGCTTCTTTTCTTGCTGACTTATTTTGTTTGTTTGAGATAAACTTTATACAGGAGCTTCGGAAGAAAAAAGTAAAAGAAGCTAGCATTATCCGCTTGACGTAGATGATGTCCTGTCATTGGATTATTTAAAGTTTAGTGACTTTGTTGATCGCATCACTCCTATTGAACTTGAAATAAGAGGCACACAGATAAGTCTGCTTCATATTTAGAATTACAATAAGAAATTAAAATAACATTTTATTAATTTTGTGCGTTCTAAGCCCTTTTCTGGATTACCAGGAATGCTCAAATTACAATACCCGAAAGCCAATGATTTATAAGACCCGCAGATAAAGCCCAAAACAGCATTGTTTTTGTATGTAAATCACATTACATAAAATGCTTGTTAAATGAATTAGGTATTGACAATTCACTTGGAAACCCAGCATATACCCCCTCGACACTTACCAAGGAGGAAATCCTGGACAACTGTTTTATATTCCGTTGGAATTTCAACCAAAGATGAAGAACCGTATCTTCCTTCACTGTATTGGATACCTAAACTACATACTAGTAAGTGTCCTTACAAACAACGTTATATTTCTGGATCTTCCAAGTGCTCCACGAAACCTCGCTCTAAATTATCAACATCAAATTTATCAGCAATCAAAGCCGGGCTTCAAAGTTATTGTAAACCTACCTATTCTAGAGGTGGAAACTAAAAAATGTAAAATATCTTTTAGAGTACATGCAATCTAAGACTATCATCTTGCAATAGTATTAAAACCTTTGGCTTTTTTACACTTTACACAAGAATTACCCATTCCAAACTAAAAGACAGATTGAAATAGTTCGTCTTTCGTTGTTTCATAAAAAAGAATGGCCAACGTAGATACAAGTATCTTTTTTTTCGTACTTTGTAAAAAATCGCTCTGATTCAAAAAGGAAATTGTCTAAAACTGACATTATCAAGATGCTTGATTTCTTGATTGACAACATATTTGTTACGTTTGGATGACGTGTTTTTCAACAAACAATTGGCATTCCCATGGGAACCAACTGTTCTCCTCTTCTTGCCGACTTGTTCCTTTATTCATATGAGGATGACTTCATACAGGAACTTCTTAGGAAGAAAGAACAGATGTCCTTTAACTTCACTTTCC